TTTTCTCTGTTGATACATAAGCAGCCTCTTTTCTCTTTCTTGATTCCGCATAATATGCATTCCATCTTCTCACTTCTTTCATTCGATCCTCGCTCTTTTCCTTATATACCTCAACCCCATCATTCTGAAATATAACATATTAGTACTATTCAACGACATTTCTCTGTGTAAGGGCTTAGATTTAATTTTCTACATTTATCATTTAGCAACATTCAGACTCTATATCTGATTTATCATTACCTTTCATAACTATTACCAAGTATTCATTCTCCATCTCTTCATTGATCCTTATATTAATATGTCCTTGCCACGCATTCTTCTCTGTTGAAACATATGCTGCCCCTTTTTTGTTTCTTGATTCCGCATAATATGTGTTTCCTCTTCTCACTCCTTTTATTCAAACTTAACACATTAGCGATGATCACTGACTTTGACCACTGATATTAATATCTATTCAGGTCAGGAATACAACATACCTTTCAATCTCACTATATTCTCCATATCTTTTTGTTATAAGAGGCCATTACCTACATTAATTCTATTCCTTTTTGTCTGCCTAAACCAGCGTCATTTTCTGAATCTTTATTTGACCATCAACGATTTCTGTCTTGTATGTCATATGGCTACCGCACCTAAAATCCAATAGACGTATCATACTTTATATATTTGTATCGCTGCTTTAATTTTTTCTCACTATAAAATATAATTCTTGGCATGTATGCTGATGATATTCCATGAGTCCAATAATCAAGCTCTGCTATCACTAATGAAAGGTGGGAAAACAGTGGCTCGTAACTTACGCTATTTAATTACAACTGAAGGTTACGTTAATACAAATACTTACATGTTTTTCGTAATGCAGGCACAACTGCATGCACACAACAATGCTTCCGACGTCTGTTTGCAATTTTTTCTCATTTCCTATGCATTCTCCTGTTCACTTGAAGAAAAATTAACAAATCACTCAATTTCTGTGATTAATTTATGAAACTTTATTATTGCGTTGTAAAGGCGTACCTTTGCATATTTGTCGTCTGCCAGGTAAAGAAATGAATGCTGTTTGTCGAATTAAAACCGCTGTCATGATTTTTATCTGGAAGCTTGTGCTCCGTTAGTTACAATACATAACCATAGGCGGCGCTGACTGTTCCCTTTTAAAGTTTTATTGGAAAATTAATTAATTACTCAATTTCCGTAAACAATTTGTGAACTTTTATAACTGCGTCGTAAAGGTAGATCCTTCAAGAACATTCCAATATACTTTTGGATATAAATTTGTCCCTAATTAATTAATTATTAATTATTAATCTACGGAATGTTTGAATTATTGTCGATGACGCCATTGGTTTTTCATTAATTACTATCCTCTACGCAATTAATTTATGAAACTTTATGCACTCGTTAGATAGACAATGTTCTTGCGAATCTTCTCATATAACTTTCGATCACATTTTGCTTCCAGTTTCGTTTCCTAATAAATATTTTCACGGAAGATCGTGATGGTCGCCGTTACGAAATCATAGACGCCATAAAACAAAAATTAATAACTAACAATTTAGAGCTAAATTCTTTACGAATATTATATAAGAATGTAGCTTGAAGCTCCAGCTTTTTACCACGTGACCAGTTCATCGTCGACCTCCTCGCCTATTCTATGTTCCTATCACTTTCTTGATTTTTGAGCCCAAATCATAGATGGCGCTGATCGCAGGCGGTAAAAATGTTTAATTTTAGAAGAATTAAAAATCTTAATAAATCAATTCGGCGGTAGAAAATTAATAAATTTCCAAGTTTCTGTTATTAATTTATGAACATTGATAGGTGTACAGCAAAGTTGGAATTATGGTCAACATTCTTGTACAATGGTTAATTTAATAATTAATACTTACATGAGCGATTGGTTTTGTATTTCCTGTATTTAATGTTCCAATAGGTAATAATTTATTAATTTTTTCGTTTTTATTATTGATATACGTTGAGAGCCATTTGTTACTAACAATATTAATTTGTTGTTAACAATATGTTTAATATTTTTTTATAGCTTTTAGTAGTATGTTTAGTAACTTTTTTGGAAATTATCAGTACATTTTAACATAAATTCGTTATTAATTTAAGTTTTAACCAGTAATTTATTAATTTTTTCACTTTTATCACTAATTTACGCTGTGAGCAATTTGTTATTAGGAATCAGTGTAATAATTTATAAACTCTTTGTAAATTATAAAAATAATTGTGTAGTAATATGCTATAAGTTCGAGTAATAGTTAATGATTAAAAAATATATTTGGCATGAATACTCTGAAGAGGAATACGTCCTTTGTAGTGGGCTAACTATAATCATCATAATCATGGTTATAGTTATTAATAGTGTGGAAAGAGAATAGAAACTCTTTTTTTTTATTTTTTATTTATTTTTTCTAGAGTAAAATTTTTATAACGGGTATGCAAACGTTTCGGGGGACGCTACAGACGGCTTCAATGCAATTAGGGAGTACATTACGGTGTACTTGGGAAATATAATTGAAAATAGAAGTTAGCGATTTTCGATTAGACGAATATAATGTTAGAAGGAGGTTCGATGTCTTACCCAATTCCAAAAAAGTAACGTATTTTTGCATCGCAAAGACAGTTAGAGTTGGGCCGCGAATGTCCGTACAAAAGATCTCTTCTATACCACGGCTGTGCTGGCTGTCCACTTATTTACTATAAGTAGTTTCGATACGCTGTCGGCAACGTCGCGAGTGGCAGAAAAATGGTAAGTTGCTACATCCCAGTGACTTGGAAACCAGGCGGAAAAAATACACGCAATGCTAAGTCGATCCCATAGTACTGTATTATTATAAATATACCGACGCAACGTTTGCTGGAAAGCATGCGCTATCGCCATATCGTACCACGGATCAGAATCTAACTCTTAACATATCCCCGTGAAGTTTGAAAAAAGAATCAACGCTGGCATTTTCTTTCTTAGTGTTTTCTCTCGCATCTAACGCATCGCCGGTTCGATAGACGCGATGGAAAGCGTGTAAAATAGCAGAAAAGAGGGACAATAAGAAAGGCAAAAGAGGGATCGGTGAAGGTAGGATAACGAGGAAACCGGGCGATAAAGGGAGGGCTAATGGCGGCGGCAACGACGCGACGAGGAGAACGCGTTGAAAGAGAAGGCGAGAAGAAGGCGAGATCGGGGACAAGCCAGGGGCATTTCCATTTAAGGCACCCCGTGTGCAATCTCTCGTTTCTCTCGGCGCCACTTGGACACGCATATTCGCGATATGTTTACCACTAGAATAACACGCTTTCCGCGACCAGCGGTTCTGCGCTGCGGGGATTTCGACACGCATCGCAGGGACGATATCGAAATCGGACTCGTTTGTTTACTCGTTTATATATTCGTTTATTTATTCGTGTTACATGATTACATATCCGCGGAATATTTAAAATATCGTCCTCGTCGAACGATGCGCTTCGCCGATTCTTTGCCGATTCTTCGCCGATTCTTCGCCGATTCTTTGCAGATTCTTTGCCGATTCTTCGTCGTTTACGCGGTATCGTTTATAGGGACAGGTTTAGCGCCTGGGTCCTTCAAATCCAAAGTATAGCCGTGCACCTTCGAAGTGTTGGTAGTAGGATCGTAAATTCTCTCGACGTGTCGAAGAGTATCACCTACGACCTTGTCGGTGCTCTCGCGGATAAATGGTTTTCCGTCCGAAGTGCGACCAGAATGAACGATCTTCGTCCCATCGTGTCCCGATAGAATAACGTTGTTACCCCCGATCGCTTGCACCGAGGCAGGGCCGGTAGCTGGAACAAATTCGTTGCTCGATTAGGAAGGTGTTTTCGCAAAGCGGTGAAACGCGCGATGCAGTTGGAAATGGTAATTGGAAAAAACGTTGTAGGATTGCCTTGAAAAGCCGAGAGAAAAAGAGAGAAGAGAGAGAGAGAGAGAGAGAGAGAGAGAGAGAGAGAGGGGGGGGGAGAGAGAACAGATTTCTCGGTCGATAGTGAAAGGATCGTTTACGCTATATAACGTAAACGATGTAATTTTCAGGCGTATAGCGAAAAAAGAGGCAAAAGAAGGATAAAAGAGAAGAGAAATAGAATATAATTCGTGGATATCGTACCTGCTTCCGCGTTTAGGTTTTCCGTCAGTCGATAAACTTGCGCCAAGTTGCCGTGCACCGTTTCCTGTATTCGTTGATTCAGCTGATGTACATTCTGTTGAATGTTCCTGTTCAACGCGTCGATATTTTGGGACAGGCCCTTCAACCAATCCGTGCCCACGTATGTTTGCCCGTCGGTGCCGCTGCCAATCGAAAATTGCGTCATCAGTGACCACGTAATTACTCGCAGGCGCAAAGAATACAGCAGAGAAAGCATCGCGATCGCATAGTCGGAAAACTGGCCTATCGATCGACTAACCTGTACAACATCGCTCCAACCAGTATCGCGACACTAACGCCAACACCGATTCCTCTCGTCATCCTCTTCTCTGATCTTTCCTCTTCCGTTGATCTTCTCGACTTGGACTGCTTTGCACTTTTTTCTACGATCGCAGTGCCAACGGTGTGGTTCACGTACTCGAGACGAACGCGAGAATCGTAGACCGCGAGGAAATATCGGGGGAAATACCGGTCGACTATGAAACGCGCAGTAGCAGCCTTCTATTCCCCCTTCGAATCTCCATTCACTAGCGATGCACGAGTACCAGCGAGATTACGGGTTCGGAACGGGGGGAAAAGTTGGGACGGATTCGAGCGAGATCTCGATACTCCCGTATCGCACGGAATTCCGCAATTTTCGGCATTCTCGAATCTCGGGATCCCGAGGCCCGACCTTGGAGCTTTTAAGCACGCGTGGCAAGAACGCGCGTAGAGCCGTCAAGGCACGGAAAGACGAGACGACGATAAGTATTTTAGATAAATAGGTAAATATTTCGGGATCCAGAGCGATCCGATAGCGAAGTATCGAGATCTCGTTCGATCCCACTCCAATTCCTCCGTCCAGTCACGCGGCTCCGTTTCTCGAGACTCCAGACGATCTGGCTACTACCGCTAGCGTAGTTATACTCGGACTGTTACTTTTGCTCGTCGCGACGCGTATCTCGTCATGGAATAGTCGTCGAATAGCCGAATAGCCGCGTATATATCTCGCTAAACGGTTACCCGTCCTCTTGCATCGATATCGACCCGCTTTACCGCGCTGTTGCTCGATCAACCACGCTAGTCGCCGATATCCTGAAGCGACGACGCCGTTTGTCCGAGAAAACGATAGTTATGGATGGAGATAGAGACGGGCAAACCGCGTACTACGCGATCTCTCCTCGCTGTACCGATGACCATCGTCGATATCGTCATACCTCGCGGACGATAAACGGGGATTCTAGGCAACTCGGCATCGAAATGGAAAAGAACGTCTCTCGTTCGGGGAAACGTTAGCGTTCGATAAGAGGGCACGAGGTTATCCCATTACGCGAAACGAGGGTTAAAAAAAAAAAACGCAACACTGGAATCGATAGTGGTTTCTGAAACGAGGCGAGAAACGGAGCGGACGGTAAAAATCGGTTTGTTTTTTGACGGGTCGAAAGCGCGAGACGACGAGGGCGATCGGGAGGAAAAGAGGCACGCGTGGAGGTAGGAAAGGGGAAGACCTGGATCGGGGGAGTAACGACGAACGTGAGTCGAACGCGGTGGGAGAGGACGTCGAAGCGGAGGACGGTCTGGTTGACCCACGGGGCAGAAACTGGTTTCGGATTTGGATTCGGATTACGCGCGGCCGTTCCGAAACCGTTCTCGCGTGTATATGCTTTGGGCTACGACGCATCGACCCCCCACGCGACCACTCCTACGGTAAACGCGCTTCTTCCATCCTCTCGTCCTTGAACCCTCTTTTCCCTTCTTTGCCCCTTTTCCACTATCACCAACCTCCTGCTTCCCTCCGATCCTCGCGGCTCTTCCTACATTTAAAACTCCATTTCGTTTCCCTTCGTCCCGACGCCGACGCCCCCGTCAAGCGTCTCGTTCCGCTGTTTACGAACGCGGGTACGCGGACGCTTTTCGATCCTCTCGCGCGTCTTCGTCTCAGAGGTCGCCCGCGGACAACAGGTATCCGAGGATTCGAATCGTATACGCGTAATCGTTTTATTCCTTCTTCGCTGCACGCGTTGCCCTCCGGGACGCAGTTCCTTCGGTGCAGCGAACGCGGCGTCCGATCTCGAAACGAGTAACAGAAGAGGGTGTTGGAAGGAGGAGAAGCCGCGAGGAGACAGGGAAGGAAAGGGAGTAAACTCGAGGGAGCCGGTTCGTCGGCGCGATGATCGTCCTTGGACGATTTGGCCTTCGGACGGAGGGTTGGTCGGCCTTTAGTCTCGAAACGCGACGTCAGTTTCCATAGGACGCGGCGCGATACGACGTATATACGTATATGCGAGCAAAACGAGCGGTATAACGAGGGTCTCTCGGTCGTTTCGCGGTAAAGTCGATCGACTTTTTGCCCGCGGATTCGAACCGCGGGACGAGATGGACGGTCCAGAAGCTGGAAGGAAAGGCGACGAGTCGTTCGTTGGTCGGCCATCTAGGGAGTATCGAAGAAAACCGAAAAGCGGTCTTTCCACTGGAGGCTGCGCGTACTATGCGTGTACGAAGGAGGGAGCGAGCAAGCGAGCTGTGAGGGGGAAGCCGTAGTACCATGAACGGTGGCTCAGTGTTCTCGCGGCAGTCGAGGATTATGGCCGGTGTGTACGCGTTGGATATTCTCGTTCGAACCTAACCTAATACGCGACACCGCGTTTCGCGTTCTTTCCATTTCGTTTCTCCCTTTCTTTCCGACCAACATCCGCAATCGTCGATCCAGTCACGAACCACGGATCGAGAGGACGGAAAGTGTCACGTCCGAGTCGTGGAACGCGAGGCTGCGACGGAATTTACGAAATCGGATTTCTCCTCGATAAGCCGGAGATCGTCGAACCGACACACGGGACTACGGATCATGCAGAGGAAAGAAGAAAAGGAAACGACGATAAAATCCATGGATACGTGATCGGTTGCCTTCCATCGAGAAACCTGTAAGTACTCGTTAGAGTTTAACGACCACTTTACGACCGACGCGAGCGTATCGCTCGTCACGCGTTAATCGTCCCGGTTAACGGAGCATCTATTCGATTCGTTCTCTCCGATGTCGCTATGACCGCTCGTCGTCTCACCGTTCGACGTATTCTCCAGCAGCAACAGCATCGGCAACTCGTACTGGTACGCGTGATCGCTTCCTACTCCAGCGAGAAGCCATATCGCGCTTTCCTTTGCTACCGACATCCACAGTTATTTCTACCCATTTCTACCGTTCGAATAGCGTTCGAATAGCGAAGGACAGGGAAATCAAGGGTAGAGAAGAGAGGAGAAAAGAAAGGAAAATCGTGGCACGGTTGCGCAGAAAGACCGGGGAAATTCGTATGTACCGCGCGCACCTCGCGACATAGCGTCGTTGTCCATCCACGGTATGAATTATTTATGAAATTGCCCGGTTCTTTCGAATCTTCTTGTTTGTTGCGACAGAGACGGAGTTAGAGGGAGAGAAAGAGAGAGAGAGAGAAACGCGTAGCAGACGCGACACGATTTTCGATGCCACCGGTCGACGAGAGGGCATTAAAGGTACAGCGTCCGATTCGATATTTGTTTTCGTTTCGCGGGAATTCAGGTAAACGGGCTAATAGCGCGGAGCGTTGGATTTCGCGAAGGAAGTGATTCGAGGATACTCGGGGAAGAATCGTGAGCGCGCGTTCGGCGCAGCATCCCGACTCAATGGGTCTTTCGACGTGGAAGAAAACAGAGAGGCGGTTTACGAGGCGTTTTAACGATTCGTTGCATCTCCCGTCACGCATTCCCCGTGAAACGCACGCGAACCGCGTCTTTTCGTTTCTCTCGGTCACGTACCACGCATCAGCTCCTTGTTTCGAACGGTGTTTTGTCCCAGCTCGCGCATCGACCATCGGCTCTCTCGGATAATTCCACGAAATAATTTTCTCCACCGTCGTTTCTTCGACTCGTCGACGATCGTGACGGGCAGAGAGTGAGAGTGTGAGAGAGAGAGAGAGATGCGTCATGGAAGGAACAATATCCAACGGTGTTTACAAGAGTCAACGTTAACGGTAGATAAGAGTCGTGGAACGAACACGCGTCTCTCTCTTCGAAGAAAAGATGGTCGCGCGAACTGCCAAAGGAAATATTGGAGCAGTCTCGGAAGGGTCGAGTTTCCTTATCGGATTCCGTCGAAGGGCTTGGTTTGGACGCGTGGGGAAAGAAAAGGGCGAAGGTTTTTGGTTAGAAAAGATACCGGCTTGGCGAAGATGCGGGAGAGAATGTCCGTACTCGTGGTAGCGTTCTCGCTCGTTTTGGACGGCCAAACGGTTGGCGCGGTCCGAAACAACGATCCGTATAAGGAGATGGCCTACTACCTCTCTCGATCGCGTGGCAGTATGTCTGGCCCAGCGTACGGGACTCGTGCGAATCGCTCCATCTCCGCCAGCCAAAACTCCGCCAACCGTTCGATTTCGCGTCTTCCTTCTCGTATTCCTCTGGTCGCACCGATCGATCGATCGATCAATCGATCGATACGAATCGCGATACGAATTACGATTCGAATCGCCAAACGGAGGTCCGCGTTCCGTACTCGCGCGAAATCGCACTTTCTCGCCCGCGGCAAGGCAGCCCCGATGCGCGTTACCTTGCCACCGCACGTCTAGTAAACCGTAGTACTTGCCCGCTGGTCGGCCATCGTCAAATTTTCCCTATTCTATTATTACGTTGTATTAGATGGCGTGTACGTGACCAGTCGTCCATCGGATCCTCGAGTTTCTTATCCCTTTCGCGATGCACGAGCGTAGAGGAACGGAGCGGGACAGCGAGAGATGGTTCGGAAAGGAAAAAGGACGCGAAGCTTTCACGCGGACTCGGGAACGCGTCGGTTATCTTTCCACGAGCGCGATAACCGCGCGCGACCTTTCGAAAAATGTATCCTTATCGTAGATTTTCCGATAAGCCGCAAACTCGATTCGCTGCAACGCGATGCGACACTCGCCAGTCGTGACAGTGCACCGTGGAAATCATCGCTGCTGCATTTCGATAAATATTATCCCTCAGCAGGTAAGATAAACGCGCGACTCCGATACGCGACGAAGCGATCGCGCTTCCAGACCTATCGACGCCGCATTTCTCTCAGTTATCGAACCGAGAAAACCTGTCGTTAGCGAGTTCGCATTATTATTATTATATGGTAAGACGAACGATCGATTGGACGAGCGCGAAGATATCGGGTCCGATGGAGGATCGCGCGCGCGCACGGACTTTTCCTGCAACGATCGCTGCAAGCTTCGTCCCCTCGCGAGAGAGGTCGAGTCGATAGCTTGCCCTCGCGCGTTATCGCGAACGGAGCAGTACAGCGAACGACCGATCGTCGAACCACCTGTTTCCATTCCGTTCTATCGTCGACAACCACCGCGCCCCGTGGAATGGTCGCGGGCCGTGCGCGTGTACCGAGGGATCGCAGTCCCGGTCGCGGCCGCGGCCACGGAGATGCGAAATCTCGGTGCCAATCTCGATGGCGGAGGGAGCGCATCGACGAAGCTGCAACCTCCGTCGAGGTAAGTCGCGGCCGTGTTACCATGTTTGGCGACCCGCTCCCATAAAATTTCTCGCAGGCCGGTCGCGCGTCCGACTGTACGCAGCTATACCGCATCGTTCCTCTGACCACGGCAACCTACTCTCCTACTACGACGGGCTCGAGATAAATCGCGAACGCTTCTCTCTCGCGAGTGCGCGCCAGCCACCGCGAGCTCTTCTATCCGTGGTACTAGAAAACGAGACGACCCGAACGAGAGAGGAAGATCGCGCACGGGCCACACCCTGCGCGTCGAGAGTCGCTGGAAAATCGGGAGCGCGAAACGAAACGTCTCCAACGGACGCTTTCCATTCCTCGCGGTAACTCGGACGATCGGTCGAGAACGGGGTTGGTCGGTCGGTCGGTCGGTCGATCGGTCGATCGATCGGACGGTGGGAAAGGAAACGAGAGAGGAAAAAGGGAAATGGTATCCCAATGGGCGACAACGCGCGGTAAGCGCAGGCGAGCTTCTAATCTCTCGAACGCGTTTATCGCTTCCCATTCGACCGTGTCGTTATCTCGGCAAGGTAATCGCGAGAAATGCCACGTTCCTTGTCAGCGCGATACGAAAGCTCCGGTGTCGCGCTGTCTAACGGTACTCGTCATCGGCAATCCTGCTACGCTCCAGCGTATCCGCACCTACGCGGGAATGTCTTTGGAGAAGAAGAGTCGTGTCCTCTCTCGCAACGACCGCGAAGGTCGGTTTCCGCTCGCGATCGTCCGATAAATTCTCTTTTCGGTTCCTCCTCCTTCTCCTCCTCCTCTTCGTCCACGGAATCGATTCGAGGTACTGGTCGTTTCTTCGCTTATCTTCTGTTCGCAGCGATTAAGCCGAGAGCTCGCGCGCGTCTACTTATCCGACACCGGCTATCCGTCACGTGTAAAGAAAAAATACGAGAATGCGTGGAAAGGAGGGAACGGTCGAAGCGGAGATTGGCGATTCGATATCGCGTACAACGACGATGCATCGAGCGATGGTTTCCTCTGCCACAGCCTCGTCGAGACAGCTCGACACCGTTCCGAGTCGTATACCGCGTGTCGCACGACCGAGCGATCCTTCGGGACGAATACGGTCGCCTCGCTGCTCCGCGTTCGCCTTATTCGATCCGGATGTCATCGGGTACCGTTTCCTCTCTAATAAATCGCGATCCCAGTTCGGTTCGATACCGTTTCCTCGCACGTATCGATCGCGATACACGCGGTAGACGTCCAGTGACCGCGACGATCACGATCACGACCACGACCACGACCACGACCACGACCACGACCACGACCACGAAGACGACAGAGTTGTCCTCCGCGATATTTATACCCGAACGATCCCGTATCCTTTTTAGAGTTTCGGGACCACCGTGACGTTCATCGTGCCACGCCGATGGTAGCATCGCGAACGAGACCGTGGGCTTTTAAAAAGTTTACCCTACCGAGACCACCGCAACGTCGACGGGAATATTTGATCGTCGCGTCGGTAAGTCGTAAAGAGGAACACGGAAGACAGGAATTGACGCGTTGGACGTGAACGTTCGATATCGTTAACCTTCGTTGCGTATCGTCCCGTGATAGCGACGACGGACGTTTCCCGATTTTGGTCGCCGTCGCTGCTTTTTTCACGCGACCATGGAGATGATGCGCGTACGTATTCGTATAGCGACCACGTGGGTCCGCCGATGTCTCAGAACACGCTCCGCTCGCGTCCTCCTTTATCCCGCTATCTATTCATAGACGAGAAAGCGAGTCGTCACCGTGACACGGACGCGGCGAAGACAAAGAACGCTCGCGAAAGGAGAGACGAATCCCCCTCTTGACCGTCGGGAAACGCGAAGGATGCTCGCTGCAGCGTCGAGGAACGACGAAACGCGAGCGAAACGGACGCGAAACGGACGAGATCCGGGCGAAAAGACGTCGTCGCGTAGCTGTGATCGGTACGAAGACGCGGGCGAGGTCGTCGACCTCGCGTCTGCTCCCGGCTCTTGTCCCGCTGTTGGCCGACTCGCGGCCCTGTCGCGCGCAACGCCACGACCCCGCGGCCATCGTCCAAGGGACATGGTTTTTCCGCCGAAGACACGCCGTTCTCATCCATCATCTCTCTTCGTTTCTGCTCCCAGGTGAGAGAACAGTCGAGAGAGAGAGAGAGAGAAAGAGAGAGAGAGAGAGAGAGAGGGAAAAGGAGGACGAAGCTCGATCGGGATGGACCGGTGGCCGGTGCGCCTCGCGATTCTGGGGACATTGGTCGCGAGCCTACGCGCTGCCGACGACTTTCGACGCATCTCCTACGAAGGTAAGAAGAATGATGAAACCGTATCGCGATTATCTCGGACGCGCGATAAGATCGAGCGGGTAATCGTGCCTGGTCGCACGTACGACATTGCGCGAGAAACGTCTTCCATCGCGTACTTATCGATGGAAGCGGAGGAACGGAGGTATCGCGAGTAGTAAACAACGCATCCTTTTCCCCAGCGAACAGGGAATCGCCTCGTCGTCGTCGTCGCCGTTTTTCTTTTCCTCTTTGTGTCTTGGTCGTCGATCGACTCGTGGGCGTTGAAGGCGCGTCGGTCGCGTGGCTCGATTCCATCGTTTCGGAGTGCCTCCGGCCGCAAATTTATCGCTCGTATCGGCAGCGTCGTCCGCGAGGGGATAAGAGAGGGGAACAGAGAGAAAAATGAATAGTCGCGGCATGGAGGAGAGAGTCGTCGAAAGTTTCGATTCTGTCACCGTTCTTGCTTCTCGCGTTCGACTCGAGCATGCTACCGCGTAGGCGGTGAACGTGGCACGCGTCGCCACGCGTGTGTACTCTCGCTCCTGCTCCTGCTCCTGCTCCTGCTCATGCTCCTGCTCCTGCTCATGCTGCTGCTCCTGCTCATGCTGCTGCTCCTGCTGCTGCTCCTGCTCCTGCTCATGGCCCGACGACACTCGCCCAACCTTAATCACTCGTCTTCTTTTCGTACTATCTCGCCCGGTCATTCGAATCGTCGATCCTTTATTATTCGCCTCGTCTCGTCCCTTTTCGTCTCGCGACATGGCTTTTCCTTTCTCTCACGAGGTCGCGAACGCGTAATTTCGCGACCTCGAACGTCCTCCTACATTACGACGCTACAGCGTGGAAAATCTCGAGTTCGCGCCGTTGTTGCGTTGCGTCATCGCCATCGTTGTAACGTCGTCGACGACGACGACGACGAGTTTGCCGGTGCGGTGTAACGTGGCAGCGAAACGAACGTAGTCGATCGATGAACACGCATCGACGATAATCCGATAGCAGAGAAGAAAGAAAATGGGAGAAAAAGAAAAGACGCGAAAGAAGAAGGAAGAAACGAGTGGGAGCAGGTAGAGGCCCGGCATGGGAGGGTGGAGAGAGGGAAGGAGAAAGAAAAAGAAAAGACGGAGAGTGAAGGGAGGATACCCGAGAGGCCTTCGAGATCAGGTTATGCTAACTGGGGCCCGTTCGTCCCACACGTATCTACTTATAAGCGCACGTACGCGGTTACATGGACGCTGCCGCCACACCGGTGTACGTCGCAGGCACGCGCGACACAGGCAAACGCGTGCCCCGAGTACGTGGAAACGCGAGAAGTACGACGAACCACGCGGAGCTACCTTTGCGGAATCGTTTCGCAGCGTCGGCAAACCGGCTGAAAAACAATAAGACGAAGACAGGAGGACTAGGAGAAGGCGCACCGAGAAACGAGAAAGAAAGAGAGAGAGGGAGGGAGAGAGAAAGAGAGAGAGGGAGGGAGAGAGAAAGAGAGAGAGAGAGAGAGAGAGAGAGAGAGAGAGAGAGAGAGAGAGAGAGAGAGAGAGAGAGAGAGAGAGAGAGAGAGAGAGAGAAAGCTGAACGCGAAGGGAGAGAAACTCGCGATATCGCGAGACGATGGAACGCGTCCTGCTTTGTGCGGAGCTCCTTCCTCGGCTAACGAGGGGACGAGAAAGGCGCGAAAGCGTTCGCACCGCGACGCTTCGAGACGCTCGGCGACGCGTCACTGGCCAAGTTTACGCGCCAAATCGCGACCACTTTTCGAGCGTGCGCTCTCTTCGAAAACGGGTTCGCGGGTAAAGATCGCGACGCGAGTCGAGGAAGACGAAAAAACTAGAAGATCCGCTGGCTAGGAAGAAACCACTTGCTCGTCGAACGTCGCTAAACTAGTTTGTCCGGAAGCGAAAAACTACTCGACTCGTGTCCACTCGTTCTCGGAACGTGGAAACGATGGCGATGGCGATGGCGACCGCGACCGGGAGGAAGCTAAAAGTCGACGAGCGAGAACGGTTCGTCGAAAAGGGAAGGGAACCTTCGTGTCTATTCCCTCCTCCGTTCTGTGTCTTCTCCATTCTACGTACTCGCGTACGCACACGAGTGCATCGCGCGATCGACCAATGGTCGACCAAGAGAACTCTACGCACCGATTTTCACGCGTGTTTCAGATCTCGCGGATGCCAGCCTGTTCCAGCAGGACGGAGTCACGACCTATTCCCAGCTGCTGTTCGACGTCGCTAGACAACAGGTCGTCGTCGGTGCTCGGTACGTAACATCGAGCAATCGATCATCGAACGTTTCGAATAGTTGCTCGATAGGAGCGAGGGCGAGAGCGGGCCGTCCAATGCGGAAGCGAATTTACAACGAATCGAGAGCGATCCCAAGATCGAAACGCGGTTTGGCGATTCGCCGAGCAGTGTCTCCATCGCGCCTTGGCCGCGCGCCAAATTGCTCTTGCCCTTTTACCCGAACCACGAATACTCGTTTCTTCTCCGAATCGATCGATCGATCAAAAGAGAATCGATGGTTCGAGAAAGAGAAAGATTTTATAGCCGCATTCCGGTTGCTTGCTCGCTCCTTCGAAATCGTCGTGGAAAGCGCAAACGCCACGGCCGTTGCTCGATTTTCGCGATCGAACCGCGATCGAATCGAGCGTGGAAAGGAGAGTACGCCCTCGTGTTACCTTCTATTAATAGAACGTTAGTTATTAACCACGGCCCACGTACGCGCTGGCAAACGGTCGATGGAACAGCGTGCGTACGCTTACCTCGTTCTGGGAAGGAAAGATCCAGCTGAGAACGCGATGTCGCGTTTCTGACCTGCGAAACCTCCGCGCGTGAGCGGACTCGGTCGATGGAACCTCCTCGAAAAGGCAGACGTAGAGAAAGAGATAAATGGCCGGAATTATTTTCGATCGGACGGGAAAAAACGCGAGCGTGAAAACGGTCGACTATCGAAACACGTGGAGCAGAGAGGAGGGAAAGGGTAGCGGTCCAAGTACGTGCACGCGACACGGCGCCACGATTTACATTCTTCCACTTCGATTGCCGTGCTCGACAACCGTGACGTCACCGAATACTACCTTGTCATATCCGCGTCGCGTTTCGACAGGTATATGGAAGAGCGAGTTGGCGTTTGCCAGATCCAGCAATAACGAGAACGATGGCAACGACGATGATACGCGATCGCTCGGCCATCGAACTCGATTGGACGCGTAGCGAACTGAACCGCGCGAGTCGTTGGGCCAGAGTTTCGACGAGCGAGAGAACAAAGTCGCCAAACGATCCATCCTATTCGTTTAACGAACAGGAAGCAATCTGTCTCAATAGGATTCTCCGTACGCCGTGACCGTATACGCGTTCGCTGGGTACATGCTCTCTTTACCCTCGCTCTACCATTTACCCGACCATTTTCGTTCTTTTTCGAAATCGCGTACCAAGTGCGAGGACTCGTCCACGTAGTCGAGCACGATCGTTTCGATCGCGGTACCGCTTCGCTCGGCTAACGATCGCTTTTGGTCAGAGTGTCGCGTCTAGTCGCGCCTAGTCGCGCCTAGTCGCGCCTAGTCGCGGCAGGCGCCCACGTAGGCGCCGTTTATGCTTCGTTGCTAGTTTCATACGGGCGCGATTGCGCGATGGCGATGGCGATGGCGACGGCGATGGCGACGGCGACGACGACGTCGATCGGTCGCTCTTGCCGAGCTTAGCACGATCGGTGGCGCGCGCAAACTGCAGCTTTTTCCACGCGTCGCGTCCCACGCTTATACGCGCGAGCCTGCGCTATTGGAGCGCGCTATTCGATCGCGCGATCGAGCATGCAAATGAAAACGAAAACGAAATCGCGTATGCCGTTTCAGGGATAATCTCTATCGGCTGACTCTGACGTCGTTGACGCCGCTCGAACATGCCTCCTGGCCAGCACCCGATGACAAGAGCAACACCTGTCAGAACAAGGGCCAGAGCGTCGAGGATTGCCGCAATTACGTAAAGGTTCTGCTTACCAATGGAAAGAGCCTGTTCACTTGCGGCACGTACGCGTTCAGCCCTTGGTGTACGTGGAGGGAGGTAAGCATCCTCGATAAATAGACAGATCGAAAGGAGTATCGAGATCGAGATGGAGATCGCGGATCGTTTCGCAGATCGAGAACATCAGCAGTGTGACTAGCGAGATGTCGGGCGCGGCCATGTGCCCTTACTCGCCGTATGCCAACGTGACCGCTCTGTTAGCCAGAGGGCCCACCGGCGGCCTTTTCACCGGAACGCCTACTGACTTTTCCAGCGCCGATCCGGCCATCTGCAGAACCCTCGCCTCGCCGAATCTCCGTACGCGCCAATACGACTCCAGGTAACACGACGATCGCTTCCGCGCGACACATATCGCGCTCGCGATCAACCTTTTCTTCGTCTCTCTTCAACGCTCCTGTCCGCTTTCAGGTGGCTAAACGACCCGCAGTTTGTCGGCAGTTTCGAGACTGAGGATCACGTGTACTTTTTGTTCCGCGAATCGGCCGTCGAGTACATCAATTGCGGCAAGGTAACGCGGCCCAACGATCGATCCACCACCGATCGTCTTTCTTTCTTCTTTTTCTCTCGCTCGCAACCTAGCCATCTTTTCTAATCTCCTGCTTGCAGAAAATCTACTCGAGGATAGCGAGAGTCTGTAAAAATGATCGCGGTGGTCAAATGATGATGAGAGAGGTTTGGACTACCTTCGGCAAGGCGCGATTAAATTGCTCCCTCCCTGGCGAATTTCCTTTCTACTACGACGAGATTCAGGGCGCGGTCTATCATCCGGAAGAAGGCATCGTTTACGCGACGTTCACCACGCCCATGTAAGTACCAGAGTCGACGATACGCGTTCCACGTATATACCACGATACGTCGTGTTACACGTTGGCTCGGCGTGTTCGCCTTCCGTCTCACGTTCGATTCCCATTTTTCTCCCATGTCTGTGCCCCGGTGCTTGTTCGTTCGCGAAGGAACGTGGAAAACGGTACGTATGCTTTCGCCAACTTTGTCCACCTCTTTTTCTTCCTTTTTCCTTTCTCTCCTCTCCAATAATCGCGATGGGGAGAAGGACCGAGGAAAGCTAAAATCTCGCGACGTCGCGCGTATTTTTAGCAACGGCATTGCCGGCTCGGCGATATGCGCCTTCAACATGTCCGCCATCACCGCGAGCTTCAACGGACCTTTCAAGCATCAGGAGAATTCGGGCGCTGCCTGGGAGAGGCGGACCGTCTCTCATCACAATCGTCAACGATGCGGTACTTCCGCGAATGTGCCACCTCATCAGATCATAGACGATCAAAGGTACCAGTTGATGGACGACGCGGTTCGAAGTACGACGCACGAACCGCTGCACACGGCTCTGCTCGAGAGATTCACGTTGATCGCTCTCGACGTTACACCCACTAAACTGCATCGCGGGGTCACCGTCCTCTATGTCGCCACCGACGTTGGCCTGATCAAGAAGATATCGGTATTGCCCCGAACGCAAGAGACCTGCATCGTCGAGGTCTGGGGTCCATTGCCCTCCACGCCGATCACCCTGCAGTTCTTGAAAGATACGCAGAGTCTGTACGTCGGTACCGAATTCGGTCTGTCCAGGTACGTTTGCGAGCGCGTTCGCGCGATCCTTTATCCATTTTCGATCAGCCAACGATCTACCCTTCCAGTGTCCGTTTCTCTCCCGCAGAATACCCGCTGCCCAATGCCATCGACATCGAAGTCGTCAGGCTTGCCTGAACGCGCAGGAGCCGTACTGCGGTTGGAACGAACACCTGATGAAATGTGCCCCAGCCCCGAAGCAAAATCATCTGGCCAACCACTGGCATCAGGAGGTGACCAAATGCCCGGTTCTCACCGATCCCGTCGATGGTGGTTGGAGTGCCTGGAGCTCGTGGTCCTCTTGTCAACACGGTACCACGGAACACGCGCACTCTCACTCGCACTCGCATTCGCATATTCACTCCGAACATACCGATACGGTGAGAACCGAATCCACGTGCACGCGTAATCGTCGTTCGCGCAGGAACGATGGGTAAACAAAAGGCGCGTGTCCTCTCTTTCCGCTAGGTTGCGGATAGCTGTCAGTGTCAAACGCGAGATTGCAATAATCCGCCACCTCAGCATGGCGGTGCAACTTGCACGGGAGCCAGGGTCAGGGTAACCAACTGTACGGTTCACGGAGGGTGGACCGCCTGGTCAGCCTGGTCGGCGTGCTCGCAAACTTGCGGCTTTGCCATGAAAACGCGACGGCGTACTTGCACGAATCCAGCCCCGGCATTCGGAGGACGGGTCTGCGTCGGTCACGACCACGACGACATCGTCTGCATAGATCTTCCACCCTGTCCCACGCCGGCCAAGATAGCACCGCCGCCGCAAACTTTCGGCCAGTGGTCGTCGTGGGGTGCATGGAACGCGTGCTCTCGACTCTGTAACGGTGGTAAGCGGAATGCAGCACAGCGACTTTACACCGAGTTCCGCATACCGAGTCCCCATTCGATAATCCTTCTCTCCGATCGTGTTTCTATCACAGGTATACGAATACGCAGACGAACGTGCGAGAATCCTTCGCCGCGAAAGTCTACCAACGTCGAGTGCAACGGATGCGATTTTCAGGTAACGGAGAACGCGCGAATCTCACAGCTGTCGCTTTGCCAACCATTTCTTTTTACCGCTTTAGGTGGAAGAATGCAACGCCCATCAGTGCGTGGAGACAAAGAGATACTCCGGTTGGACTCCGTGGCTCGCTGCGAACGGCACCGCTCAAAACACGGGCATCGGTTACGTGGAGAAACGATTTCGGTTCAGCTGCCGCGCACAGACCGACGATCCGTCCAGCGTGAGGGTACAACTGGCCAAAGAGGAGGAGCGATATTGCAGAAACGACGGTTCTTGTCTGAGAGGAAGCGGGAATCAGAATTCTTACGCGGATCTCGCTATGGAAGCCGGTTGGAGCGAATGGTCCGGTTGGCGTGCTTGCGATCGACTCTGCGGTGGAGGTTCTCAGCACAGGGTGAGACAATGCGAATCGCCACCCTGCGAGGGTTTGTCCCTGCAAACCAGGCTGTGCAACGCGCACCCGTGCCGCTCGAGCGCGGTCGGTGGTGGCGCGACAACCGAGGGCCAGTGGTCCCGCTGGACCGACTGGTCCGAGTGCTCCGTCTCGTGCGGCATCGGCCTGCGTTCCAGAACGAGAGAATGCCTCGGTCCGGAGAGCTGCGAGGGCTCTAGATTGGTGAGGGAGACTTGCGAGATGCCTAGTTGCGAGTCGTTGCTCGGTTGGGATTCGTGGTCGCGTTGGACACCGTGCGACGACGATCATCAACAGCACCGGAAGCGACAGTGCCTTCAGCACGGTAACGGAATGTGCCAAGGACCCAGCAGAGAGACGCGGGACTGTTTGCCAGATTGCACGGACAACGGTGAGAGCACGGACGCACCATGTCCCACGCGATATTTTCGCGTCTACGTAATCGTCTAGATAATCGTCTAGATAATCGTCTAGATAATCGTCTAGATAATCGTCTACATTGTTTTACATTTCAATCGATTTACACGATTTTTTCCAGACGTGAATGCTCTACGGTCGAGCGTGGAACATTCCGGCGTAACGATCGGCGCGGTGGTGGGCAGTTGCGTGATCGGATTTCTCGTTGGCTTAGCCCTGACCGCGCTTTTCAGCTTTTGCTATCTGAAGCGACGACAGCAACGAATTCCCGGCAGTCCTCATTACATCAGCAAACAAAATCCCTACGTTACCGTTCCGTTGAAGGAGGTAAGCAATCGACGTCTACTCGCGTGCCTGTCCGGATACTGGCGATTCTACTAATAAAACGCGTTTCGTTGAGAATACAGGTAAACGCTAAGCGGCAGCCGAGCTTCTCCGGTAGTACGAACGGCAATGGAACGCTTCGCGGAAAGAACAATCCAAACGTGAACGGTCTTGGAAGTCCGAAACTGTATCCGAAGAGTCTCGACTACGAATCCGCTACTTTGAAGCGCAACAGTCACGGCCAGCAGCATATTCGAGTGGATCCGGATCAGGACAAATACTATTGAACGGACAGCGTGCGACGCGTACGGAGGAACGAACGAGTTTAACCCGCCATAGGACGACGGTATTCGCGTTTAAACCGAACGCACGCGAGACTAGCACTCACGAAGAGATATCGCCATGAAGGCGTACGACAAAAACGGCGGGCACAAACGCTATAAACGCGACGCGACGCGACGCGACGCGACGCGACTACCATCCGTTTCTCCCGTGTTTCGCACCGATCACGCTCCTCGAGCAGTGGACTCGGCCGTATCAAGAACTTTCGGGGCCGAACCCGGGCAGGAGAAGCGTACGCAGGACGGATCACATCTATACTCGAGATCCAGTAATATTCATCCCGTATTTCTTTTATTTTAAATGACAGACACGATCACCTCCGGTTTCGCATCGAACGATTCAGTGCCATCGTTACGTCGAGCACGCGCGTCGCGTGTAATCTCGTCGAAAACGAACGTCTAACGTATCGAAATGTACCTACTACGTGTATGAATGTGGATATGGATGTGGATATGGATATGGATGTAGCTGTTACGCGCGAGGAATCGCTAAAAACGTGAACGCGCGTGTATGAATGCGTTACGCGTGCATGTGCATTCGTGGCACACAGCGCGCGTGATTCGCAGATTTTTATTATTGGCTCACATTGAGTCGCGGCAACGCGTCGACTCGTTCGCGCGAACAACGATAATCGAGAATGGAAGACGTGATAAAAAAACGATCCAACTTTCGAGACTCGAGATTTAGCTCGGCGAATTACATTCGGATCGAGGAATTTCACGCGATAAACTCAGACGACGTTTGGATAATTGAAAACGGACATTTACGAACGCGTGAAAAACGTCGCGTGTATCGTCGATACGCCGGATCGACGCTATCCATTTTAAATCCTTCTTTCCAGCGAGGCATAGTATCACGTGACTGCAATAAAATGAATGATAACGCCCGCAAGAATACTCTGCTCTCCAACGAATTCCTTTTTCTTCCGAGCTTTCTTTCTATTTTACTCGATGGAGCTCTAATGCGAATATGTCGGGATTGGTTTACAAATCGAGCGCAAACTCTTCGATCTTCTCGATCGCGTAATCCATGGAAGCTTTGCTCGGCGGTGGTTGACACGTGACGATCATGCGGAAAAAGTTGCCGAGGTTATTGTAGGACAGCGGCATATAACCAACCATCAGGCTTCCCTCGACCATCATGCGTTCCTTGATTTTAGCCGTGATTTCGGACAGCTTGTCCCACCATTCCCGAGTCTCCGGTTGAGCCCGCATACTCGGTGGTACGTACCTGCGAAACGGATATTTGTTCACGCGAATGCGGGAAAGCATGTAGCAGAGAGAGAGAGAGAGAGAGAGAGAGAGAGAGAGAGAGAGAGAGAAAGGATACTCACCAAAAGCAAACGTTGCAACCTTCGTATCGAGGAATAACCAAGCGAAATCCATCGCGATTTCGAATCCGTTGGAAAAAGTACTCGATGGCGGACATGGCGAGATCCACGGATTTCCGGAGACCTTGCGTTCCACGTGCCTTCCACATCAGCCAAAATTTCGCAGCATCCACCTACGACGAAGAATCGCGTAATCGCGTTTATCGTATCGATGACCGCGTAATTCGACGAGTCTCACCTTTCTCCCGCATTGCACGCTCTTGTCGCCCGTGTCCCAAGACACGTCGTACTGTTTGTCCTGTTGGAACAAGTATTGCGCTCCCGCGCAATTCGCCTCGTGCAATGCGTTTTTACCCTTGACCAGGAACAACGAACACTGAAACGGCGCGCCGAGCATCTTGTGGGGATTCCACGCCACGGAATTGGAGCTGTATCGTATTGAAACGCGCGTATCAGATCATCGCTGAGCTATCCGCGAAAAACGAGGAAAAGGAAAGAGAGAAAGAAAGATATAAGCGCGTAACGTACAGTTGAATACCCGTCAGTCGGTCTCGATACTTTTCCGAGAGCAACAAGGTGCCGCCCAGGCATGCCTGTAACAGCGACAATCGTTCGAATTACAATCGATAGTCTTTTCTTTCCTACCACTCGTTGCCGCACATCGCGAACATCGTACGAACGTCAACGTGTAACCATAGATCTTCCTCGCGGCAGATCGCCGCGATCTCTGGCAGTGGATCGAACGCGCCGAGGACCGTGGTGCCACAGGTAGCGTTGACGAAGAACGGTAAGTGGCCTTGCCTCCGGGCTTTCGCTATGCCGGCCTTTAAATCGTCCGGTCGCATGCGTCCCAATTCGTCGCATTTTACCTGTCGAGTGAATAATCGCGGTTTAGCGATCGTGTAGGTACGTGCGAATCTCGATAGCAAACGCGATTTACCTTGTAAACGTGATCGGTTCCCAGTCCCAGCCAGTGAGCGCCTTTCGTGAAAGAATAGTGGCCAGCCTGGCTGGTGAAGCAAACCAGCGGCGCAAGTCCCGCGAGTCCCTTTGTCTTTACATCCGGGATCTTTTTGTACCTGGCCAGTACCATACCGTACATGTTGGAAATGCTACCACCGGGACAGAGAATACCGTCTCCGTCTGGCATCGGAGGATATCCAATCAGTTGCAAACATTTCTCTATCACTTGTCGTTCCATCAAGGTAAATACCGGAGCCACCTCGTACGTGTACCTATCGACGCGAATCGAGAATACAGCTCCCTCTTTCTCCCCTTGTTTACACGCCGTATCGAAAATATCGGAAATTTACTGGCTCGTATTGAACGTATCCGTCAACCATGATCCAACTAGGCCGTATTCGTCGACACCCGCGTAAAGTTGATTGTGAAAATGCGGACTGGACGTCTTAACCGAGTACCTGATGGTCTGCCTTATCGACGTCTCGATTTCCTCCTCGCTGGCTGGTTCGTCGGTCAATTCGATCGGCAATAGCTTCTGCGAGACGAAAACACAAAGAGAACGCGTGGTGCGATATATTCGCGTGGCTTTTGATCGAGTCGCTCTCACCTGTAGATCTTCCGGATGAACGAATCGCAGGACGGGTTCGTTACCCGTACGATCGAACGCGTTTTCTTCGTCGAGAATCTCGAGCAAACGTTTCAGCGGCCCGATCGCCGTTTTCGTCGTGGATACCGTTGCCTCCATTGCTCGTGACGCACTGTATCGTTGCCCATCGAAACGGTTAGGTCGGCCAAACGATGCCGCGTTCCCCCACGCTCTCCGTTCGACTTTCCCTCGTACATTCGTTGCCTTTGGTCCGTTCTACTCGATCCAGCCATTTGCTCGGTCGATCGCGAAACGCGTCCGCCATCGTGGTTAATAACGCGCTACAACCACGCATACCGGCGCATCGGTCGGAAATTTTTGCGTCGCGTAATCGGTCAGACAAACTCGGTCAAACGGGTCGAGGAAACTCGAGCACAGATACGGCCGATAAAATCTCGCGATACGCGGTACGGTATGCGCGTATATACTTACATGCGAACAAACTAGCGACACGGGAAAGGGAAAATAAAATCGAGGCGGGAGGCGGTGGTGGAGGAGGAGGAGCGGAGGCGGCTTAGATCAGTATAATGAACACGTAACGCGTAACGATTCGCACTGGAGAAAAAGGAAAAGTTATCGTCGCGGTGCGAGAGAAGGAAGAACGTAGACCGACTCGTTACGCGAGTCCCGGATTATCCGTGGTCCAAGTGGCTTTTCGTCCGCCACCACCAGCGCCACCACCGACGCCACCACTGGCGCCACCGCTAGCGTCATCGCCGCCAATGCCAGCCACAAGGTCGACCGGCAGTCGAGGAACCAAGCCTCTCATCGAGGCCCACTGGCCTTCGCAGAGTTCGTGAAACGTCAATCGAAGCAACAGCTTGCCACCGAGAATACCTGGGCCCCTGCAAACCGCTCCGGCCCCAAACTCCCAAACGCCTAAATCCTCGGTCGAATTCGTGCCGTTTACCCGCGCTAGGTACATTCTCTGCAACCACATGGCCAGATAAGAGGCGGCGCAATCGCAGTGCCATGGGTTTCTAGCGAGACGAAGCTGCTCGATGGATTGCACCGCATCCAATATCCGTGGCGGCATCGACGACAGATAATTCGATTCCAGCTGCCTGTTTGATCGCAAACGCTTTCATAGAGATACTCGACGCCCCGTACGAGGCCCTTTACGACGCCCCTTACTCACAACTTTCGCAGATTCGGCGTGTCCTGGAATAGCTCGGGGTGCATTATTCTCAGATGATTCGAGTGCAGAAAGAGGGACGTCAAGTTGGACAGGCCGTGAAACGCGCCGCGGGACAAACTCTCTATGCCGTTCGCGTAGAGAACCAACCTCGCCAATTTGCCGGAACTCGAGAACAGTCCTGGCGTTAAGTTTCGTATACGATTGTGACCCAGTTGAAGTTCCTCCAACGCGACCAAACCTCGAAACGCCGACGGATCGATCTACGGTCAGCAAACGAGATTCGTGACAAACCGGCGGACGAAGAAAGCCCAAAGATAAAGGGAACGGAGGAGAATTTTCCTGCCCGTGTACCGATATTTACTCTAGCTATCTCGTTGTTGGACATCTCGAGAGATCGCAGCCGTTTCAACGGGGTTAATAATTCGGCGGATATCTCCGTCAGTTGATTGCTCCTCGCGTTCAACTCGCGAAGCGACGCTTGAGCTCGAAACAATTGGTTCGGTAACTCCTTCAGCCGATTCTCCTCCAGACCGAGATAATTGAGACTCTTCAAATCGGCGAACAGGTCGACCGGAAGATTCGACAATCGATTCTTACCCAGCAACAGCTCCTCCAGGCCGGACAATCCGCGAAACGTACCCGGCATGAAACTCGCGATTCGATTGCACGAGAGATCGAGCAATATCAGCGAAGTAGTGCTCAGGAAAAGAGTTTCCGGTAGCGTTCGCAACCTGTTGGTGGATGCGTCCCTGCGCCGTGCCAGGATAGTCAGAAGGGATAAAGAAAAAGAACCGGGCGAGAAGAGCTATTCTAAAAGGGAGGAAGAAAGAGAGAGACGAAAGATCGTCGATATCAGGTCACTCACAGAATACGAAGGTTTCGCGTGCTGAAAAATTGCGATCGATGCAATTCTCTGAGCATGTTCTTGCTGAGTCTGATACGCGTGACAGCGTGCAACGAGAAGAACAGGTTGAGGGGGAGATGCTCGATCGAATTGTCACTGAGATCTCTGAAAAGAGCGATCGAATGACTGGATTCTCGAAGAAGAAAACCGGATTCGTCACCGTCTACTACTCACAGATGATTCAACCGGGTCATATCTAAAAAGGTATCCCTGTGAAGCGCCGTCAGCCGATTGCCACCCAGATCTCTGAAATCAACGATTTCCAACGACACTCGAATCGATTTTCGTGCCATCGTGTCGCGAGTAACGACTGGCGACGTGGCCAGTGAGAGAGCTTACAGTTTCAACACGTCCCGAGGTACCAGTTGCGCCGCGGGAACGTCTAACAGATCCTGTCTCCAGCAAGACACCGATTTCGTCTCCGGTTGACACCTACACGGACCTTCCGCGCAAATCTCCCAGTCATCCTCCTCGGCGGAGCTCATCTGCCAAACTGCGAACGATTCGGCCGATATTGCGTATCGCCGACTCGGATCGATGGCACAGAGAGGAAAATGCTACGCTTACCGGGTTGCTCCACGGCCCTGAGTCTTCTCTCCAGACGAGACAAACGATTCTCGAACTCTTCGAGAACGGTGGTCGCCGCGACGCTACCGTTCGCCGTTGAAATCGAGGCGTTTGTTCCACTGGTCGTGGTAGTGGTGGTCGTGGTCGTGGTGGTGGTGGTGGTCGTCGAGGACGAGGACGACGACGACGACGACGACGACGACGACGACGACGACGACGAGGACGAGGTCGCGGATCGCTCGGCGGAATGCGCGCAATCGCGAGAGGAAATTTCCGAGCGCGAACCGACACCGAGAAGCGTGGTCGAGAGCACGACGAGCAACAGACGAACGATCCGATCCGCGGCAATCATCATCCTCGTCGGGAGCAAAACTTCCTTCTTTCTCCAGGCACCCGATTCGTTCGACTCGTCGTGCGCACCGTTCTCGCGTGTCCATACGCTGGTCCCTGCCCCTTCTGCCCTCTCGCTCATTTCCTCGCACGGCCTTCCGGCCTACTGCGTACCACCGTTAATACGGTTGCCGCTTTTCGCGTAACGCTCGAAATTGACAAACAATGGTCGCGCTCCTAGGCTGACGCGACCGTCTATCTACCACTTGTCGTAATCGTCGTTTCCCTAGCCCCCTCGTACCCCTAACCTAACCTCCATCGACCCGGATCAGCCGCGAGTTTCTTCGATCGTTCTCGAAGGAAAGAAACGCAGCTACAAAGGTAAACTCTCGCTTTCTCTTTTATTTCTTTAATCCTACGCTTTTCCATTTTCCTTTCCATCTTCGGTTCGCGTCTCCGCTCTCTCGCTGATGTCGAAGCTGAAGCTGAAGCTAATAAGGCCGAAACTCGGCGTTACGTAAGCCTATAAGCGTTGCGTTTTCTCCTCGAACGCGTGGATAGACCCGTGTCGAGGGGTGCGGTGCGAGGCAAGGGTGGTCCATTCGCGAGATTAGAAGAGCCTGACGCCACCCGATCCGGGACACTCTCCCTTGTTCTTGATCGCCAGCTCTATAAACGAGCGAAAAGAGGAAACGTGAGGATGGAAAGACGAAGCGCGTGGAGGAATTGGCCAACCACAGAGGTAGACACAACACTCACTGGTCCCTGTTGCGCAGTTGTAAACGTCCAGAAGGCACTCGTTTGCGAACGTTCTGGGCTTGAAGCTCTCGTCGTTCGGATCGTGCACGCAAATCGGATCGTGCTCGTAATCGCACTCGTTCACGCAGTCCTTCTTATTCTTCTTCGCGTTATCTATAGCCGCCTTCACGTCCTTGCTCGCGGTCGCTGTCTCCTTTATCTCCTTTGGCTCTTTCACCCGTTTGGTTGCCTGCGTGCTGTTCTCGGCCGACTCCGCGTTCGCTCTCTCGATCAGCACGAGAGCGCACGCGACTACCAACGCTGCGCGAAATCCATTCGAGACAACGATGACGACCACGACGATGACGACGACGACGATGGTCGCGATCGCGGCAACGAGCGAGGAAAACGAAGGTAACGAGAAAGAATGTGCGTCGACGTAATTCGTCCGACTTCCCTTTCCTCCGTCGCACGATCGAAACGTCGTCGCGGGTTTGTCTCTTTTACTTACCAAACAAGACGCTCGACTTCATGGCTCGTGGAAAATGCGGCGATCGACGATGTCTCTGGTTGTTGGTTTCCGGTTGGCCGAAGAAAAGAAAATCGAAACGATACTTATCCGCCAACGATCGAGACAAAGACGTCTGAAACGACGACAGCGTGTAGCGTTCGGGCTTATAAACCGAGAGAATCCCCCCACCGTGTCCTCATGAGAAATCATCGAGGAGATCACGTAGCGGCAATCTTGGAAATTGCTCGCGCCTCCGCTCAGTCGGAATTGCTAAATGTTGCGATTTCGATGGAAATGGAACGAAAGTCTCCGCTACGCTTGTCCGAAACGTCTTCTTTATTGAACTCGAGAAAAGACGTGGAGCGAGTGAGGCGGCACGTACATGCTAACGCGCAGTGTCAACTGTCGAATAAATACGCGAACGAATGCGAAGAAAAGTTAGTCGACGATCGCGCGAACAAATTTCCATCGTCGCGAAGAATCGCCTCGGCTGCGAACGCTAAGACTTTGCTCGAACGATTCTCGTTTCCTCCGCTATGTAGTTTTGCAGCAATTGCTCGTAATCCGGCCACGATCGGTCGCGTTCGAAGGCGCGTCGAATTTCACATGGAAGCGTCGCGCAGTCCTCGATGCGGTTCGATCGAGTTTCGTTCTCGACCCGGTGCTGCTTCAGCGCGTCCTCCACCATCGCGGTCAGAAGATTCAGTCTGTTCCACGCCCTCGACTTCGCTGAAAAGCAGAGACAACGGTGGACGTAGTAGTAGTCAGAAACGCGAGAATAACGTATAGACAAGACGGGGGTTACCGTTCAGCGAACGACGTCCATCGTCGTCGCCGTCGTCGTCGCCGTCGTCGTCATCGCTCTCCTCGTTGTTGTTGTTTTGCACGTTTATCTTCTTGATCTTCTTAATCTCGAGCTTCGGAATGAATAGCAACAGACAGATGACGGCGATAAACTTGACGATCATCTTGAAGATGACCAACTTGAGGAGAATCTTGGCCAGAGTGAAGGCGTTGAGCTTGAGGCCCCATGGCCAAGAGAGACCGATCGACGAAAATCCTAGGTGCATCGATTCGGTCGCACCGTACGGGCTGCCGTAGGTGGCGCCGTAGGTGGCGCCGTAGGCCGGAGCCGGCGATCCATACGCTGCAACCACGTTCCGTGGATCATCGATTCGGAATCGAAGCGGGAATACGCCAGGGATCGAAGGGACAAGAAACGCGGGCGTAATACGATACCTCTGGTCTCACCTTGCTGTGGCGGCGAATAGTTGGCACCGACCGTGCCACCGTAGTCCCCGTAGGAAGAGTACTCGTCGTAGGGTGGTCTGTAGGTGCCGCGCGGCGGCTGCGACTGCGGTGGGACCCCGTACGAACCCCGAATACCGGCAAAGTCGCCGGCTGATTTTGTCGGTAAGGTGTACGAGTTGCTCGGCACCATCGAGTACGAGTCCCGATCGATCGATCCAGGATAGACGACTCGCGACGATTCGGATCTTTTCGCCGCGTACACCGGTCCCTGCGTATCTTCTTTTCTTCGCTGAAACGATCCCGTAGCACCGGTTCCGACTCCGTCTACCGCGACCACACCCTCGCGAGGATCCGTGCTGGTACGAGAATGCCTCAACGCCTCCAGATAGCTGTCCTTTCCTCGAACGAACGGGCCACCGTTGTTACCGTTCTTCCGTTCGATCGGCAACGAGATCTCTCCCTCCGATCTGGCTTCCATCGCGTTTCCACGACCGACGATCGCGTGATTGTCGGTGAACGTGGTCGTCGCCGTCGTCGTCGTCGTCGCCGCCGCATTTTCGCCAGGTTCCACACCGTTTGCCACTGCTGCTATTATCGTCAACGTCGCCAACGATCCAAGGAGGCGAGAAACGCGCGATCCTCTTCGTCGATGGTTCATCCCCGTTTCTATCTGTTCGTGGATAAAACGAAGGAAAACGAAACTCGCGTAAACGAAGCAGCGAGAAAGGATCTCGCGCGGATGCGCGTTCGTATGAAACCCGTCGCGAACTTTCGATCGAACGATCCTCGAGACTCGGAGTATCGGAATGACGCCGGTCCAACGCGCAAGGGAACGTCGAAGGTTGTTCCGTTTGCTCCCCTCGAGCGAAACGCCGTCGACGCATATTAAACGGATAACGGTCTTCGAACTCCGTATTCGAGGTTCGTTTTCGCCTGGATGGCCCGATCGTTAACGGTGTCGCTTTTCCTCGCTTCGGCCCCCGATCGGTGAGGGGCGTCGCGCGATCGTTATGCGCTCGATGCGGTCGCGATAACGGTCCCGCGATTCGTCCAACCTCTTACGATCCCGAACGATCCACTGGCACACTTGCGATCGTTGCACGAAAATCGGTCACGACGTGTCGACGCGTCCGCTCACGGAAAGGGAAATTTACCGAGCGATCGATGCCGCGTCGAGCCATCGAGGCCGTCCAGGTTTCCCAGGGCAACGACAATCAACCGCTTCGTCTGGAGAATCTTCGCGAGCGTTATCCTGGCCGAACCTCGCGTCGACGAACATGGAGACGTTGTAAGCGAACTGCGATCTCGTAGCCGTACATCGTTTTTCCTTCCGTTACTCGTCCGTTACTCGTCCGTTACTCGTCCGTTACTCGTCCGTTTCTCTTCCGTTTTAGATGGGTAAAGTTCGGCAACTGTCGCGATTTTGCGCTCGTTGGCAGGGACGCGATAGCAATGGCTTCCGGCGTCCACGTTCGTTTCCTCGAGCATCGGACCGGTGAGACGCGGATCGAGCGATTCGACGGTGGCGAAAGAGGAGACGGCGCGTGTCGCGTCGCGGGACACTCGGTAAGTAGGGGCCTTTTTTCCCCATTTTCGTCGCCACGCGATAACTAACGATCGCGAACGCGATGGCGCGGTCACCAAGGTGGCGCCGATCTTCTCCGTGGTCGAGAGGAAAGCCAACCCGTGGATCTCGGTGTTGGCCTATCCGACGATGCGAAGGATAAGCAGATGCGCCGAGAGTCGACGAGCGAACGGTTACTCGTGCTGCGCGTTTGTCGGCACCGAATACCTTCTCGGCCAAGCTACCTTCCCGGACTTTTGCCTGACCGTGTGGCACTGGAGAACCGGCGAACGGCTGACCGTCGTAAACGGACCTAACGCGACCACGTTGGGCATGGATCGCGCCACGATCGCGTGAGTACCACACCGCCTCATCCTCCTCTGGTCCCATCGAAATCGTCGTCGATCTTTCCATAGGTGTCCGACGGACTCGGCTCGCCTGGTAGCGCGATTCGCACCGTCCACCGGCACCCTGTCCGTGTATCGCGTGCTGGCCTGCTCGAACACGGTTCGACTCTTCCCTCTCGACGTTCGCTTCGAGCGTCGTCCGGTCTCCTGTTCCTGGTCCACGGCCGGGACTCTGCTGTACTACTGCGACCAGCACGGGAACGTTTGCTCCGTCGACTTGGACGAAGATCAGAGGGATCGTGGTCGCGATCGAACGATCGTTCGAGTCGCCGAACAGGCCATCCCGTGGAGAAATCCCGCATTGGTGGGTCACAGCGACGGAGTGCTGGTCTTCGGCGTCAACGATGCTGATCGCGAACGGGACGTTCGAGCAACGGTAAGACGCGTCGCGTATTTCCGATACAGCGTTAGATCGCGTTCGGTGGATTGTGCGCGCAGTTTTACAGGAAACCGTGGAAAGACGAAAACGACGAATGGCGAGCGACATGGACGATTCCCCTACGGTCGTACCCGAGGCACGCGGTAAGCGATCCGCGTCGCGACGGTATCCTGATTCTCGGGGAAGACGGCAATCTGTACGAAATGGTATGGGAGTCGCGCGAACATACGCCTCGTCTCGAGTGTCTCCTATGGGGCGACGTCCACTACGCGACCATCGTACCTTTACCTGGCCGATACCTGGGTGCTCTGGACCGAGCCGACGGGCTAACGATCGTCGACGCAACGACCGGCAAACTCGTCTCCTCCAGCACGCGATTGGCCCATCACGGTAAAGGTCGGTAAGAAAGAAGAAGACCGTTGGAAACGCAACGACGAAAGACTCTCGTTCCATAGTCGCCGACCTGACGTCGCACCCGACGTCACCGATTCTGGCCAGTTGCAGCGAAGCGGGAAATTGCCTCTTCGTCGACGCGTGCACGCCCTCGTGTCCGAGAACGACGCATTGCGTTCATCTGCAACGGGAGCCGTTGGATCGCGTAAAGTTCTCCGACAGAGGTTGCCTGCTCGGCGTTTCCGCGATCCGAATCGGCAGGTTGTTCCTGCTGTCGACGAGTCCCGCTGAACCGAGAGTCGCGGCCTGGCTGAACCTCGGCCGTAAGGTAAGGAGGAGAGGCAGGCTGAAACGCGATTTCCGTCACGTTCTTTCGTTGCCAGGTGCTGGATTTTCTGATTCACGAGACGGACGATGACGATGTAGCCAAGACTCTGATCCTCGTGGGAAACGACGAGTCGAGCAACTCTCGTATCGGGAACGAGATCCTCGAATACGCGTGTCGCTGGTCGGAGAGAAGCGTTTACCGCGAGGATGCCGATCGCTCGACGAAACTACCGTCGTCGTTCGAGCGTGTCCATCGCGGAAAAGGATCGAGTCGCGAGATGATCGGGATACCCTATCTCTCGAAGCAATTGCATCGAATCGAGTTAAAGGTTAGCGATCGACGTCCACGCGAACGATGTCACGCGACCTCATCGATCGTTGCGTCCTCGTTCTCAGGAAGACCCTCGAGAAGGAGCGTTCCTCGTCGAGGCTCTGCCGTCGTTGCACCAGACTCGAGGAATCGAGATCACCGTGCAACGCGGAAAGTCCTCGTGCCTGCTCACCTGCGGATTCGACGGGTTGATCGTCGGAAGGGACCACGTCGATCCGCGACGAGTGTTTGCCCTGTTGGTCGCGCATCATCGATCGGAAGGAGGCGGTCGACGCGCCGTTCTCGTCGGTCACGCGATTATTTCCCTCGGCAGAAACGGAGATCTGGTTGCCAACGGGTTACCGTGCCGGTTAGCCTTCTCGCCCCGTCTTTATCTCCGATTCCACGTTTTCTTTTCCCTACCGTTCGGCGTTACGACTTTGATCGAACAGGAGGATCGAGCGGAATGACCGAAGCTCGAGATCAACCGGTTCTGCTCGTCGCGTTACGCCCGATCGACTCGAAACGGGGAAAACTGATCCCCCAGACGCGACGCATTTCGTGGAGACGCAGGAGGAGGCAGAGACGTGGGTGGAAAGGACGGTTCATCGGCGGTCGATGGTCGAACAGAAGCGAGCACTCGCGTCGCGACTGTCCCTTCTACGAGACTGGACCAAGCTGAAGCGTCAGGTAAGCCCGAACGATTCTTCCGCGGAGAAGACTCCGTTCGAACGGAGAATGCCGTTTTTTCCTACCACAGATAACGACGTTGCTCGACTCGAACGAGACGGCGCCACCGAACCAGCGTCTACCGATTTCTGCGTTCGATCTCGATCGCGCGAGCCGAGAGCTCGCGTTCGAGGCGATGGAGAAGCGACTTTATCGCGATGCCGAGGAGCAAATCGCGCGACAGGATCGCACGAGTCGTTACATACGCGATCGATTCCTCGATCCCCTAGTCGTCCGACCTAGAAGCGTCTTCTCCCTTTTCGGACGATCGAGGGTCACCAACTATCCCCTAGCCGAACTCGCGTCGCAAGACAGGCGTCTCGCGGCCTGGTCTCGATTCTCCATGAAGACGCGGCAATTGGTATCCAGGTAATCGTCTCGCAGTGGAATCCCTAGCGATGTTCCTTCGTTCCGTTTCGCGTGTTTAGATTAGAGGACGAGGATAATCCGTGTACGCTCGACGTCGAGAACCCGTGGAGTAGCTGTCACGGCTTCGTAGAGGTCTCCGAAGCGTGCGCGATTGCTGAATTTCGAGAACGAGAGATCAAGGAGAGATTCGACGAACGATTCGAGCAGACTCGAACTGCAAAGCAGAAGGAAATAACGGCGGCAAACGATCGCGCGAAGGAAGTTCGTCGCCTCGTTCGCGAGTTGCGGTGCACGTTTCACGTGGACGCGAGTTCTAAGCTTCTCGAGGCACCGGAGTGGCATCCGACGGAGAGGGAGGAGGACGCGTTTGACGTGGACGCCAGTCAACGCGAGCAACCGGACGACGACGACGACGACGACGACGACCCGGAAGTCGAGGCAAAGGTCGAGGAATTTCGACGGAACGCGCTCGACGAAATGATGGACGGCGCGTTAGAAGTCAGGTAATCGTCTCTAGATCCGTTGCGTCTTTCGGCTATACGATTCTTCCTAAACCACGCGATTGGATGAATCGCAGATTGGAGGACAACGCGAAGAGAAATATTCCGATGCCGGAGTGTCTCCGCAGTAAGGATCCGTTCGACTATACCGAGGAAGACGCTCGAGCGATCGAGTCGTACGAGAAAAAGATTCGCGCGCGAGAGAGCGATCGAGAAAAGTACAGGTCAACGCTGGAGTCCGATATCGAGAGGATCACGGGTAGAGTTGTATTTACCGCGAAGAAGCGAGCTCGAGGTTACTCGAGGATAACGGTTATTAACGGTTCGGTTTCAGAGGAATTCTCGAGGAGTGCAAAGATCTTTGACGACGAGTTGAACGAGTTATCCTGCGAGAAGATACGAGTGGAACGTTCGATACTCCAGGGAAGACTGTCCGCTCTGCGAACGATCGTTCGACATCGAGAGATCGTGGAAGAGAGGCGCGAGGTGGAACGCGCGATCGAGTCGGAACTCGCGCCAGCGACGAAAGAGACGCGCGAGCTCTGCGAGCAATGCGATCTGTTCGAGGCAGGTGTGGCCGAGGCGAGAATCGGCTACGAGAACGCGCGCAAACGGGACAGGCAGCTCGAGGGAAAGTTTCGCGGCGAATTGGTCGAGTCGAAGCCATCGATGACCGAGTATCTGTTTCGACAGTACCGAAAAAGACCCGCGCTATCCGGTACGCACGGAGCGTGCGGGGCATCCGTCGCGTTCCTCGCCGAACTCGCCAGCTGCCTGATCGAGGAACGAACCTCGGACGTATTGCCGGCCGAGTGCTCGAGCTATCTGCGAGCCGTGAACCATCTGGACGCTATGCCCGACGGACCGTCTCGACGACCCGAGCTCGACCATTGGCGTCTTACGTGTCGCCTCAGAAGACTCAAGATGGAAGCGGAGACAAAGGTGAGTCGACGGCACCGATTTCGCGATACGAACGCGGACGCGGATAACTGTACGGCGCGATACGATCGGTTCGAAGGTGAAAAGCTGCGCTATCGAGTTGGCGGAAGCGGAACAGAGCCTGACATTCTTGCGGAAAGCGTGTACCTTCGCTCGAGACAAGGTCGACCGATGCAAACGGACGATAGAGCTTCGACAAGCGTCCCTCGAAGCGGACTCGTCTACGGATCGGGACGTAGCGTTAACGCTGAAGACGGGACAACTCCGAATGCGGGGCAAAGGTTGTCCGTTCACCGACTGGGAGGATGCCGTTCCGACACCGGTCGAAGAAGTGACCCGCGCCAACCGTGCGATCCAAGAGGCCGAGCGACGAAGATCGGACGCGCTGCGAAAACTCGCAAAAGTACAGGAACTCGTTTCTCTCGAGGAGTGGCGTCACGAGCTAGAGAAAACGAGAATGGAAGATTTATTGGTACGAGCGAGGGACCTCGATCTGGTCAAGGTGCGACTTGCTCTTTTCTTCCAACTCGTACTCGAAATCGATCCCTCTCCTTCCCTTCTTTTTCTCGTTCGTTCCCAGGTGAGCAGAGTCGCGCGGGAATGTTTACGCAATTCGCAGGGCCGGTGTCGTACGACGTCCAAGCGGGAAGACCACGACGACGACGACGACGACGACGACGACGACGTCGACAGGGAGGAGGACAGGAAGGAGGAAAAAGCAAGTGGGACGCACGACGAACCCAACGAGCGAGAAACAGTGGAAAAAATGGTATCCGTTTCGCGGTTTCACTGGGAATCCGGTGCAACGAGACGAAAGAGGGCATCCGAGTCGGAACGACTCGTGACAGAGATACGGACATGGCGACGCAGGAACGACGAATCAACGAGGAAAACTGAGCGATCGACGATCGAGAGGGAGCAACTCGTGCTCGCGTCGAGGGATCCCCTGCGATTAAGAGTAGCCGCTTTTCGAGCGAGCGGAGCACGAGCATTGAGGCGCAAGGCGCGACTCGCGGCACGAATTCGAGATAATCTGCAACAATTGTCGATTCTCGAGACTCGACTGGAGACTTGCAAATTGCGAACATACCCGACCTTGAAGTTGAAATTTTGATTAGGTCGCGCGACCACCGGGTCATCGCGATACGGGATTCCCCGGTGAAAACGATACTGCCCATTCTGAATTTTCCCATTGCCCGAGAAGGAAAATGAAAGAGTGGACGATAACGCTGATTCTCGGTCGCGTCGAAGATCAAAGGTCGAGCATTTGGCTATCACGGTGCACGAATCGCGCGCGGGTCCCGGTGTGTCTTTCGCCTCGAGAAAAGGCAACCTTCCTCGTCGATGGCCGGGATAGCCTTGAAGCATGGGGAATCACGCATATTTTGCAGGAATTTCGCGTCATCAGCGACCAATCGGTAACCGAGAACGCACGCACGGTCTCGTGTCCTTGATTGCCGCCTATTAGCTCGTTGAATCGCAACGTCTGGTAAAACGGACGCATTCGCGATCAGCGAAAACGAGATAATTCTAGACAATACGAGACCGACGAGATAATCGCGCGCGGGGAGGGAGGGGGGGCCTAATCGTTCCTACTGCATTGATCGTCCGACCTAACCGCGCGAGCTCGCGCGAGTTCGTGCCATGTAAATAAATTCGCAGGGAGTATCGTATTCGGAGTGGGGCAAGGAAAAAGTGCAAATAGCGTCGGTGAAAACGGACGAAGAAACCCATATAACACATAGAGGAGAGAAAGAGAGAGAGAGAGAGAGAGAGAGGGAGAGAGAGAGAGAGAGAGAGAGAGAGAGGGTCACCGTCTCCGATACTCCCTCCAGATGCCGCGCGTGATCGCGAGAATACGAGACGAGGAAAAAGGCGCTCCTCTGTATATAAGGAGAATCTGCAAGCAGCGACTCGTGCAACAACGACCACGCGCAGTTTATCGCGGCTCGACGCGGAGGTTATAGTTCGTGCGTCGTTTCTCTCGCCTTTATCTTTCCTTCTTATAGCGTTTCTCAACGCACTCTACTCGCGTAATGCTCTTGCCAAGTCGTGTGACGACACTTGCGTTTGTCGCGTTCGCCGTATTCGTCGGCAACTCGATACCGAGCGCTACCGCCAAATCCGTTCTCCACGATTCTGCCAATTCCAGACGAATCTGTAAGTATAGCGAAACAGCAATCGATACACTCTGGCTCGACGTACGGTGCAGTCTGCCCGATCGCTCGAGCCAAACACCTGTGTCTCGGGAAAAATAGCTCTCTCTCTCCGGCGAACGCGTTTCACCTCGTCTGGTTTCACCGTAGTCACGATATGCGTTCCCGACGTCTTTTGGGAGGATTGCGTGGACATGATCAAGGACTCGGCCCACAAAGGAATTCCCGTTTCCTGCATCTCTGGACGCGACCGACTCGAATGCATCGAGCGGGTCGGCAAGAAGGAGGCTGACGTGGTAGCTGTCGATCCGGAGGACATGTACATGGCAGTGAAGGACAACCAACTGGCCACCGGGGACACTTACAACGTGGTCGAACAAGTGAGCGAAAAGCTTCTCTTCTCCTTCTGGTACACCTTGGCCGGGAGATATACTCACGGTCCACGTATCTAACGTCTTTCCCAGGTGAGGACCAAAGAGGAGCCGGACGCTCCGTATCGCTACGAAGCCGTGGCCGTGATACACAAAGATCTGGCCATCGAAAACGTGAACGGCCTTCGCGGACTAAAGTCCTGCCACACGGGCGTGGGTCGCAACGTGGGTTACAAGATACCGATCACCAAACTTACCAGCATGGGTGTCCTCAACAATTTACACGATCCGGAATACTCGGCACGCGAGAACGAGCTACGCGCCTTGAGTTCGCTCTTCTCCAAGGGATGCTTGGTCGGCACTTGGTCCCAGGATCCGGCCATCAATCGCAGACTCAGTAAGCTATCGGAATCCTCCGTCGCGTTTATCCACTGTTCCGTTACCTTTCCGTTTCGCCTTTCAGAGGAGACTTACTCCAACATGTGCGCTCTCTGCGAGAAACCCGAGATCTGCGACTATCCCGACATTTATTCCGGATACGAGGGAGCATTGAGGTGTCTCGCGCACAACGGCGGCGAAGTAGCGTGGACCAAAGTGATCTACGTGAAACGATTCTTCGGCTTGCCGGTCGGTGTATCCCGGGCGATTCCGACCACGGAAAATCCAGCCGACTTTCGATACTTTTGCCCGGACGGTAGCAAAGTGCCGATAGACAGCAACACGAAACCGTGCACTTGGGCTGCCAGACCTTGGCAAGGATACATGACCAACAAGGATGTCAAAGACGTAGAAGCGGTTCAAAAGGTCTCTCTCTTTCTCTTTCTCTTTCTCTTTCTCTTTCTCTTTCTCCTCCTCGGCCTTTCCTTTCCTTTCCTTCTGTGGATGTCAAAGACGTAGAAGCGGTTCAAAAGGTCTCTCTCTTTCTCTTTCTCTTTCTCTTTCTCCTCCTCGGCCTTTCCTTTCCTTTCCTTCTCATTCCTTTCTTGCCTTGTTCGCGATCGCCCGACGAATTCTCGTTTAACGGATGCCGCTTAAAATATTCCGCAGGAGTTGACGGATTTGGGTAAACTGGGCGAAGAAGAAAAGGCGGCTTGGTGGAAAGACATCATGCTACTCGATGAGAAAACTTTGGCCGTTCCCGCCCCGGTTGCGTTGCCCGAGAATCATCTGAAGAACGCGAAATACTGGGATGTGATCGAAAGGAATTCAGGAGCAACGGACAAGAGCGCTCGCTGGTGCGTCTGGGATAAAAACACGCTCGATAAGTGCCGCGCCCTCGGCATAGCCGCCTATTCTAGGTAAACGATCTTGCCGCAAGTCGAGTCACCGTGATATTCTTCTCCTTAATCGATGCTCGTTACTTCGTATCGTAGAGACGTCAGGCCAAAGTTGGAGTGCACGCTCGAAAAGAATCTAGACGACTGCTTGATGGCCACCAAAATGGGTAACGCGGATCTGATGGTCCTCGAAGGCGGTTCGCTACTTCGTGCCTCGAAGGAGTTCAACGCCGTTCCCATCGTCGCGGAATCCTACGGACCAGGTTCGACGAATTACAGCGAAAGGCCAGCGGTGGCGGTCGTTCGGAAATCTGGCCCGATAAACAAGCTAGGTAAGAGAAATTTCTTCGTTTCGCGCGAACGCCCCTCCATCTTTCGCGGTCGACGAATCGTTGCTCGATCGTTCGTTTCAGAGGACCTGAGGGGCAAGAAATCTTGCCACAGCGGATACAAGGGTGACTTTGCCGGTTGGGCTGCACCGGTTCACGCGTTGAAACAGAAGGGTCTGGTGAAATCGGAGGATGACGTGGAAGACTTTTTCTCGGCATCGTGTGCTCCCGGAGCGCCGACCGACTCGAAGCTGTGCAAACAATGCGTCGGAAATTTGGCGAGTAACAACGACGAGCTTCGAGCCGTGACCAAGTGCAAGCCGAACAAAGAGGAAACGTACAGAGGTGGAGCTGGAGCTCTCGCGTAAGCCGTGAAACCCGATCGGATCGTAACTCGTCACCGTGTTTCCTTATTCGCGTCGTTTCGTCGCAGGTGTCTGATGGCCGGCAATGGCGATGTCGCGTTCGTACCTTTGACCGCCTTGTCGGGCAACGTCACTGTCTCAAAGTCGGAGCTCGTGTTGCTCTGTCCCGATGGCGGCCGTGCTTCCGTCGACGAATGGCAGCGATGCAACTTGGGCCTGGATCCGCCACGTGTGATCGTCGGTTCCGGCACTAAAACCGCAAATGGCCTGGAGGAACTCACTCACGGCATATTAGCCGCCAGTACCCTATACTCCAAGCGGCCCGATCTTTTCCAGATGTTCGGCGTTTGGGCCGATCAATCGAATCTTCTGTTCCGGGTATCGATCACGTTTCTACCTTTGTCGCCCGAAAGAAAGGGATAGAATCGATTTCGGATCTTTTCGATTTCAGGATCAAGCCAAGGGTCTCGTGTCGATGGACAAATCGTGGAACAAACAGAACGAGTGGAAGGAGACGCAACGGGATTACGGTACGGCTTGAAGCGCCGACATTGCCGTTTCCACGTCATAAGAAGGCATCGAGGAACGTGTCTTTTCAGACGCTGCAATAAAGTACCATAGAGCATTAGACGTTGTCGATTTTATTTTATTTTAACGCTCTCTTACTCTCTATCTCTCCTCCCCCAACCCTACCCCACCCCACCCCACCCTTCTCTATCTATCTATCTATCTATCTATCTATCTATCTATCTATCTATCTATCTATCTATCTATCTATCTATCTATCTATCTATCAATCATTTGTGCTGCATCCATATTTATCTCTCTCACCTTGTTACGAACTCGCGAATAAAAATCGCAAACGATACATGCTAGGATAGCGCGACCGGTCTACGAATCAAATATAGTCTCCGCGGTGGACAGCCTGAGGACCAGCTTCAGGAACGATTCCGATATTCGACCGTATTTGCTGCGACTGTATTTCTTGTACACTATCTCGAAGCCACAGTGGTTTTGCCCGGAATGTATCAGGCGTCGCAACATCGCGATACGCGTTTCATCGATCTCCTTGTCTGGAAATCTGCGAATCATCGTACAACGTTTTGCGATGAAACAGAGAAAAGGGAAAAAATAAAGGCACGAAACGTGGGCGAACATGGCGTATGGGAAAAGAATACCGACCTATCGATCAAACGAGGAACCGCGGCAAAGAGCAAACCCCTCCAGAACAACCATCGAGGACTGGAGTTCTCGGTCGTGGCGTCGAAAACGAGACCGAGCACCAGTTCGACTACCGTTAGGGTGATCAGCGTTACGGGTGTCCGACAAAACTGTTCGTCCAATAGGGTAACGTCGATCTAAAAAAAAAAAAATGCGTCCTCGATTCGAATGGAACGATCGAAAAGGGAGAAGAGCGGGGAAAAAAGAAGCGCGTTTACCAGGTAATTGCCGCAGTTGTAGATGAACGAACAGGTCTCGACGGGTATGTCGACCCGACGACTACAACTGACCACGTGATGCGTGAACATGCTGTACGCGTCGGGAAACGTGACGTTAAAGTCGAAGACCTGCAGGATCTTCCTTTCGTGGGCTATCAATAAGTCCTCTCTACCCGCGTAAAGATCCTTGGCGAGGGCCACCATGGTCGTAGCCTGCGAACAACGAGCCAAGCCGGAAGAAAGGTCGCGAAGGGAGAATCTCTTTTCCTTACCGTCGGAATCCTGTGGAAGTTTTCTTGCCTCTTCAGACAGATCCAAAGACTCGCCAGTGCCGACAACTGTATGAACGCAGTCTCCACGGGAATTCTGTCCGTAACGGCGTCGAACAGCTTCACCGATTGATACACGATGTACGACGGATATCGACAATGCATCTACGAACGTTAACGAGATTCGTTAAGCCTTCGCCGTTCGCTACCACCGCGATCGCCAGACGCAACGCGAACGAGAACTCACTCCGAGACGTAACAGAAAGACAACCACCAGTCTCCTTTGATCGACGTTCACGTGCTTGGTCAAGAAGTTAGCCGACAATCTCGGTGATCGCTTTTCCCTCTCGCGTTCGATCGTCGGCAAATCGTCGTGATATTCCGCGTGACACGACAACTCGTGCGGAAATGTATCCTCTTCCTCCTTCCATCCTCTTTGATCCATCGATGGATCGATCTCCTTGAACGTGATCACCTTGTTCCGTCGAATCACCGCCTCGAAACGGGAATCGAGTGTAGTCGATCGACTCGAAACGATCCACGTGTACGGATCGAAAGTTGAGAAATTCGCGATTAAACAACCGCTTACCTTGACAGCTGTCGGTGGAGGCGGTGGTTCGTCGACCGGCGTCAACACGGATTTCACCAGCCCTCTCGTTCTTAACGCCTCTTCCATGCGCTGGGGTACAGCGGCTACGCGTCTGTCGGAGGAAAAGGAAAAAGTACCGAAAAGTTGAACGGCAGGATAGAAAGAGAAAAGAAAAAAAATAAGAAAGGGAAAAATTCACCGCGTACACGTTCGTCCTGTCTTCGATCATGTTTCTCGATCGCGGAACGTCGCTTTTGATCGCTTTCGTTGCCGTTCTCTTCTTCACGGAGCTTCGTTCGGCAATCGAAGAGGCTCTGCCGAAACGTAGCTGCACGCGCGAATCGATAGCGACGTCGACCGAAGCTGAACGTCCTCTGCTTGCTCGCGTATCGGTTCGCATCGTTTGCACGGAATTTGACCTGCGAAAAAAGGGAAAAAGCTTTAGGACACCTACGACACGTCTAAGAGACGATTTTGCAATGTCGATCAGCGACGCTTACCTCGGACGACACGGTATTTTGGAGGGTAGAAATTTCTTAGCGACCCGCGGCTCCTCCACTGTACATCGGTTTTCGATTGCCGATCGCTTGCCGATCGGCACTTTGCTCGACCCTTCTCGAGATTTCGACTGGAAAGAGAGCGAAAAGTCACGCTCGAGGTTAACGCGAACATCTCGTTTGTCGGTATTTTTCTACCTGTTTACGGTTCCCGTCGTCGTTCCCGAAAGGCAACTCCGTTCCCGAGACGACGTTCCGTTGATCGCAGTGAACGTGAAACGGCGTCTTTTTAACGGGAAAGCTCGAACCGAGGGTACGGCCAGCGTGACCATTTTCGTTCGAGCCTCCAGCTTCCTTTCTTCGCTCGTCGTTCGAACCTAAGAAGACGCGCGTTCGACGCGCCGCGTCACCGTTCGCGAACGATACCTTTTTACCACCGTCCACCGCGTTATTATAATAGATCGAGGAACGCGCGTTTTCCTTTCCCCTCGCCGACGAGGTATCGTTCGAGAAAATCGTCGGGACCGCGACGCGCGCATTTCGCGCCGAATGAGCCATCGTTTCCTCTTCGTTTCTATCTCGATTCGTTTTACCGCGATCGGCAAAGGTAAACCTCGTACGACTGCCGCTCGTTTGTTGTCTCGCTCGTTCGCTGGCTCGTTCCTTCGTCCGGACGATGGCTGCTCGTGCACGCACGATCGTTTGTTTATTTTCGCGTACAACCGATCGGAGCAAACGTTCGCGGAACGTTCGCTTTCGATTCGAACTGCGAGTTTGCCGCCAGTCGCCGCTCCCGATGCCGATCGACCAATCGTTCCACCAGCAACACCAGGCAAGTGACGAGGAAAGCCGACAGCAG